CAATGTACAAAGACGTCGATTGTCTTCTTCTTCTTTGCGTTCACCGGCTGTAAACTCTGGTGGAAAGTTTTGGTTGTTCGTCAACTTCCAGACTGCAGTCCTGTTCCAGAACCTGAGTGTTGCGTGTGCATCCGTTTGACGTATCTGTATGCAGACTGTTGATTCCTTGCCTCTCAGGCAGATGCACTCGGACTTCAAAGGAAGCTCCCAATTAGTCGACTCTTACGACATGCTTTTGGGTAGGCAGTGGGTATATTCTTGTTTTTCCCATAGTAGGGCCCCGGAACCCACACGGGGAACGTCGATTGTGATAACATAACCTCGAGTCTTCAGACGCAATAACTCTCGTCAAAGACAAAACCGGGCAATACAGTTGTACTTCGATTGACTACCTGCTCAAAGTACTTTTTCACATCCCAAATCGACCTTTGTATACAAACTTAGATTCGAGAAACGAACCGTGATGCGCATACAAACCATACATTTGGAAGTTGATGGAAAAAAAAGATATACAGGAGCTGGCAGAGAAGCATAACATTAAGCTGACCAGCCACAAGAGTTAAGAACTGAACAGGAAAGAGTCAGATAGGAGCAAAAAAAAAAAAAAAAAAAAAAAAATTAGCAATCCTAATAAATGACATTTAGAACAAAAATCGTGCCAGCACGGGGGCGAAATTTTTCTTTATTAATATCCTACCCCAGATGACATTACAGGACATTCAAACAATTTAGAGCGGGTTTTCCAGCTATCTGATGCTTTTAATGACCCCCAAATATCTAGAACTGACCCCAACCCACCTACGTCCTACGAGAGAGTGCAGCCCAGGTCCCACGAATGCCTGCAGCCTATCTACCACCCCCTGAAATATTAGACTGTCCCGTGACCTGTGGATTTTTCCTGTTTCTGGTAGGATATTAATGAAGCATCCCAAAAATTACTGAAACTTTATCTCCAAAGAAACAGAAGGAAGCCAACGATGACAACTGATGACATAATTTTAAGAAAAATTAATTTATAGAAGGTGATTTTCATAAAACATACAGAAGTATCACGTAAAACCAAAAATTTAAGTGTGTTATGGTATCGAACATACATATTTATTGCCTAGAAATTCTACTACTGCCTTTTAAACCTTGCAATTTGTTAATTTAGGTGAAAGTATGTTTTTTTTTTTTTTTAAATTATTATTAAAAAAAAATTCATAGAACTGATTAATTGATTTCCCCTAACATTTAATGGGAAATTTGGTTTCGAGATACCAACTTTTCGAGATACCAACAAGCCAGCAACGAATTAGGTCGCAAGTCGAGGTACCGCTGTAATAATTATTTCAGAAGGCAATCTAGGAGGAACATTTAAACAAATAAGTGCAGCCAGTGAGGCAGGCAGAAACATTGATGGACGAAAAATGATCAGATCGAAAGTCAATCATACAAAAGACAGGCAAACGGATAGATGGATGACCGGACAGAGCATTGATAGAAATACAAGCAGACAGACTGACAGCCAAGCAGACACACCGACAGGTAGCTATGTAGATAGACAGACAGACATCCAGATAAATAGATAGACATATAGATAGATAGATAGATAGATAGATAGATAGATAGATAGATAGATAGATAGATAGATAGATAGATAGATAGATAGATAGATAGATAGATAGATAGATAGATAGATAGATAGATAGATAGATAGATAGATAGATAGATAGATAGGTGACAGACAGAAAGAATATTCGAGGGTTGAGGATGGATTTAGAAACAAATTAAACGAGAAGAAGAAGAAGAAGAAGAAAAAGAAAAAGAGAGTACAGGAAAAATATAGCGAGAGAGAGAGAAAGAGAGAGTGGAAAAGGGGGAGAGCTTATCTGTCCATAAAAGACAGAATGAAGCCAACATTACATTGAATATTTAAGAAACCCTGTCGGTTTGTTATCGGCCAAATAAGTACCCAGTCTCTACCTGGCAGCTTGCAAGAAACATCCACATCTGCTTGTCAAATCTGCCGCCCGCTGACCAAAGTAACCTCGTTATGATAGGCTTCCGCGGCATTCCTCGCTTCTGGCAAATCCTCTTTTAGGCCGCCAGGTAATAATAGGGCACTGGAATGTGCCTACAGACCCAGGCTAAGGAGAATGCCGAAGGCCTTTCCTCAAAGCGGAAAACATATTTGCACGGGGGTTACAGAGCCTGCTTGTCTGTTCTGAGGTCATGAGTTCGAACTCATCACAGGCTAGACTGTTGAAAACGGACAGATTAAAAATTGTGAAGGGTTTCAGTGGTGAAGCTGGTTAGCCACGCGCCTCATGCTATGAAGGCCGTCAGCTGGAGCCGGTTTTGCTTTTTTTTTAACACAAAAGAAATCAACGGAAACTTGTGAAAGAGCGATTCCCCGTGTGGGTTCTGGAGCCCTGTTTTATGGAAAACAAGAATAGATCCACTGTCTACCCCAAAGCATGCCGTAAGAGTCGACTAACTGGGAGCTTCCTTTAATGAAGGACTGCATCTGCTTGAGAGGCAAGAAACCAACAGTCTGTATACTAATAAGTCAGATAAGTAAAATAAGTTTAAGTCAATCACCCACTTGCCTCGTGTACTTTCCTACCCAAGGCGTCTCCCACATCCTGTGCCCCCGTCCCTTTCCCCACATTCAGACCATTAAAGACTTGACTTCATCCATACCAAACAACTCATCATGGTTCCTCTGTATAAGGATTTTTTTTTTTCTAAGTTTAAAAAAAAAAAACATGTTTCCCCCAAGCCGCCACTTTAACAACCACAAGTGATCACAAATTACTAATGAATGAAAACAAAACATCCATAACAGTTTAATTTCTTGCTTTACTTGAAAACAATTATCACAGAGCAATGCAAGTGTAAACATATAACAGTTGAAAAGCAACAGGTATGTTTAACATGAACTCAAATTATAGGTTAATCAAAAATGTACTTTAAAGAAACGTCAACAGAATTAACATAATTACATCAACCTTTTTATTTATTTTTCTAACTTGTAGAGGTGTGTTATGGGCCAAGATTCTATGCTGCAGAAGTAACTTATGAGCCATGATTCAATACTACTGAGGTATCCTATATATACAATCAGACAGTTACTGGTACCATCTGAATTGGAACACTTTGCATGCTGCTGAAGATAGGGACTGAGCACTTATGGGAGTGTCCCAAGTGATGTGATGTCAATTTTTAATTCGACACTGAGGTATTCTACGAGCCATGATTCTATGCTGTAGAGGTATGTTATCACACAAGGTTTTATGCTGTAGAAGTATGTTATCATCAGCCAAGGTTCTATTCTGTAGAGGTAACTTATGAGCCATGATTCAATACTACTGAGGTATCCTATTTATACAATCAGACAGTTACTGGTACCATCTCAATTGGAACACTTTGCATGCTGCTGAAGATAGGGACTGAGCACTTTTACTTAGGTTAGGGCACCGTGGAAACATTTAAAATATCTCTTACAATGGAATAGTCATACTTTTACTTAGGTTAGGGCTCCGTGGAAACATTTAAAATATCTCTTACAAAGGAATAGTCATACTTTTACTTAGGTTAGGGCACCGTGGAAACATTAAAAATATCTCTTACAAAGGAATAGTCATACTTTTACTTAGGTTAGGGCTCCGTGGAAACATTTAAAATATCTCTTACAAAGGAATAGTCATACTTTTACTTAGGTTAGGGCTCCGTGGAAACATTTAAAATATCTCTTACAAAGGAATAGTCATACTTTTACTTAGGTTAGGGCTCCGTGGAAACATTTAAAATATCTCTTACAAAGGAATAGTCATACTTTTACTTAGGTTAGGGCTCCGTGGAAACAATTTTTTTTTAAAAAGCACAGCAACTAAGAAAAGTTTGGGAAACGCTCCCTAAAGAATAAATAATTAGATGATGACTGTTCTCAATTTACAGTCTATTGCATATCAACATTTGTTTCATCAGATGGCATAGGAAATCCTGTGTCTTCACATATACTGGTGCTAGGTATTCTGGATCAATTCTGTTGATAATATTATGTTATCATAATTGACGTAACTGCACAATAGGCATTCCCTTGAACTCCCAGTCTCCTGATGCAGTAGCCACTACAAGGTACCTCTACTAACTGTTCCCATGAAAAGATGGTTATAGTGACTCCTCTCATGGCCTCAAAGAAGGCTTACACATGTTTGATGAAGCCTCACTCCCAGGTCAGGCAATCGTGTTAGCGTTAGAGAGTACAGACTACCTGTTGTGATTGTTTGAACCATGTTCATGGAGATGATACAATTACTGCATGTGAAGCTGCTGGTTCTGCTGGCCACATTGATGCTCTAGAAACAGCTGACATCTCCAACAGCTATACTTGACATAGTTGCTTAGTACGCCCCATTATCCTCTATAATTGTTTCCCCATCCTTTTTGCTGTACATGCCCACGCTGATCTTGGCCCAGCCCTTCATGGACTTATTCGTGAATGCTGATCTGTCAGTTCCCTGATCTCATTGTCTATGGGCGCAGGATTCTGCTTCCTGCCTTATGTTGATGCTCCATGTTACCATCTTAGACAAGTTAGCATTATTTTTCTTGGTCTGCCTCTATCACATCTGATGCTGACCTTTCTAGTCATCACAATTGTATCCAATGATTAATTTCTAATCACATGTATAAAGATCGCAGTTTGTCTCTTTTATAGGGTTAGTTTCATATCCTTTATAGGATTTCAAAACTAAACCCACCATCCGTTGGCTGTTTCTGGTGTTTTTATTAGGTAATTCTGTGTTAAGCAGTTTTTCATGCTGCTTAACAGTCAATGCTCCATAATGTCGTTGAAATCAAGGCAAAAACAGTCTGGACAATTGCTTGCAGATGAATCAAGCTCTTTTTTTTCTAAAACTTAATAGCTGCACATAATTTCTACTGTACCAACTGTCAAAGTCATGTCCTGAATGTAATGGGGCATCAGCATCAAGAAGAAGACCTAAAAGTTATCAAAAGCCAAAAGTCTGAAGCTGATACACTTTGGGCCCTTTCTTCAGCAGAAAACCCTGGTTGTTGAGGGATGTTATAAAGCCTTCAAGGTCAGGAATCTGCATTCCAATGTCCTGGAAATTGAAAAAAAAAAAGGAGGGAGGGGGGGGGGGATATAAATTTATAAATTGTGGATATATTTATAAAATAATATCCAAACAAATATTTCAAACAGTAGAAAAACTTAATACAAACATTAATATAGAAGTAAAAGTCTTCCAGAATGCCTTATCAATGTAAACAGGATTAATCAGAAGCAGGTCAACAAGCTTATGAATTTTGAGATATTTGACATCAGTATATGGAATATGTATTAAAGAAGTTAAGTATATATATATTGCATGATATCGAGGGATATACCACACACTTGCCAAGTCAGTCAGTCAGTAGCATGTCCTTTGCAGAACCTTGCTCTCATAACAGTACTCTGGAAAACTTCTCGATCACAAGCAAGATATTCCGATACACCCATCTCGAGATCATCCATCACATTCTGCACCTATCTTCTCTTTGGCCTTCCTCTTCCTCTCTTCTTGGGCATATACCCCTCCATTACTGTTCTCTCTAAACTTTCATGACGTTTCAAGTGACTAAAATATTTCAATTTTCTGTGTTTTATCGTCTTTAATAGCCAACCTTCTTTAATATTCAGCTCTTGAAGTATGGATGCATTTGTTCTTTTCTTTACCCATGATATTCTTAGAACCCGTCTAAAATATTTGTATTCAAAGGTTTTTATGCGCTGTTCAGCTTGTTTAGAGAGTGTCCAGGTCTCACAGGCATATGTTGCAATGGGAAAATGCATGCTCTTAGAAATCTAATTTTTGTAGTTCTGTCTGTCACACTTCATAATTTATTCATTAGTTTAGTCTTTGAAGAGCAATTGATAGCCTTCGTTTAATTTCTTTCATTGTGTCACCATTTCCCAAGTATCTATGGGATATGTTTGTAAATGTCAATCCTAAACATATATGCACAAGGTTCCCTCATTGTCTGTTCTGTGCTTACATTTTCTAGTCTGTGCCTGTACACCAGACAATATTACTCTGCTAATGGATCCAAATCCATGAAACCTCTGTTACTGTTACCTCTCTCTAAAGTCGTGAGGACTGACCTCCGATGCTGCAGTTAATGTTCTCTTAATGTAATTAGGTTTGACCTCCATTGACGTACAATCAATTGTAGGAAGACTTGGTCTCCATTGACGTCTTCTCCAGCACAGGTAGGCGTTTATTAGCTCACTCTCCACTGTAGAAAGGTTTAGCCCCCATTTCTTAGAGCCAAAGCTAAGGTGCCAGCTGTCTACTAGTTGATGAAAAACTTCTCTGGGCAACGGCTGACTCCTCAGTGTCGTATATATTAAAGAAATCAGTGTCGTTTATTCAGGACAACCCACACGACAATGCCTCAAATTGAACAAAACTGGGAACGGCTTAGGTCCCATTAACGCGTGCGGTCGGAGGATGTACCGCATGCTTGCCAAGAATCTAGGAGATATGTTTATAAATGTCAGTCCTCAACACATATGCACAAAGTCCCCTCAGCTGATGAGCCATGGCTACCCACTCTCATTGGCATGGCACATGATGACGGTGATTATAACTGGAATAAAGGAAGGTCAACCCAAACAAGAGCGCTACTATAAGCAAGGCTCAAGTAACAAGTTAACGCCTACAATATAGCGGGCACAGGTTACATGTCCTATCGTAACCACTAACATTGATTATGAGTACTGTAAAATATACTACAACATGCTAAGTAAGATCTTGTAGTGCGATCTCTTTACTATAGATGAACACATTGTGACAAAGAGGAACTGGTGATCAATGACTTACTGCCAAGTCAACTACTTCCTGCCAAATCCACTCACATAAGCAGTCTCTCCAGACATGGACATTACACACCAACTACAAGGTGGCTGCTTTGGGCGACTCATGCTCGATTGCGCAGATACACCCACATGATGTGCAGTGACAATCCTCTGACAGTTATAACTCTAAGAGATCCCACAAGGTAGATGTATCACTTGGTGAAAAGAATCCAGACCTCCCGTCTGTTACCTAGTCACTCACTGAAGTATCCCTGATCAACATCTAGTAAACCAGCCTCCGACAGCTCCACATCACAACTCCAAGCTGGCCAAAACAAAGTTACCACAGCACCTTCTGTAGCAATTACGGATACCTCATCAACCAGCGAGCCACAGAGTCACAACTGTGCTGACCCCTAACACACATTGGCTGCAAAATCATCTATTCTAGAAAATCACTTCGACAGAATAATGAAGTCCAGCTCATGATCCACCAGTCATCCAGACAGTTTTCAAGCTCCAACAGAATAAAACCATATTGTTAAAACAGGCACACAACACACTCTTTATGTCTACAGGACCCTGAACAGTTTGTACTCATGTCCACACTGACTTAGGCGAGCTGAAAGCTGACTGACTCAAATACTAGGCCCATTTGCCAACAGTGGTCAGCTACATGTGGATCTCCCATTGCTCACACAACTTGGGGTGTTTGCAGTCACTCACGAATTTCAAGCAACCTCTGTTTCACAACTTCAAATGGCTCAAATGTTTACACTCACAACCCGTCAATACAAATGAATGCCTGCGTATACCCATGCTTCAAAAAGCCTTGGTTTCATTAACTTTTTATACCCTACAGTGACTTTCCCACTCAAAAATTTGGCAGCCGCATTTGTATAGCAGCCAAAGATCATGGGTTTGAATCCGGACTGTGTGAAATATTTTTCAAAAATGACTCTGGCTCCCAGGTTGACCCAGCCTAAAATTGATGATTGATTGATTGGCACCTTTCTGTCTTTCTAGGCGATAGTGTTTAATTGCGCTATAAGGAGGCATGAGACCCACAGCCCATGGTGATGGTGAGTGTGACTATCAAGACCCACCTGTGTCAAGAAAAGTCTTCTTATAACCCGTAACTGCTGCCTCTCGATTAGTTTCCGAGACCGATTAAGGCCAGGGATGAAGTTACTGCTCTCCATACCACAAAGCCTGGGCAGTATTGTAGAGACCATATGTTGCCTATACATAATGATGCCTCTCTCGACCTGCCTTGTTTACTCCAAAGGAAAGGTAAAACCAGTACATTTGGAACAGCCTTAAATGGATACCAGGTTAAACACACAGGAAGTGAAGATGGCCAGCATCACCCACCGAGTGCTGATGGGTCTTTAAGAAATATGAGTCTAGCACCATATGTCTAATGTACCACTGGTGTGAAAGTGGTCCTTTACTTATTCAATGAGTATGTAATCACTCAACAGTAGAAACATTTTCAACAGATTATTTTTCTAGAATAAGTTACTGTGAACTAAAATTATACCTTTGATATTTGCCTCATTTGTTGTACTGTAAAAATGCTGTTGTATGTCTGTTCTGCGATTTTCTGCAGGGCTGACACAAATCTCTTTGGCTGAAATACAAAATATATGTTAATCAGTGTTTATGTTTTTTTAACTCGCTCAGTACCAAATCAGAATTTTCAGGTAAGGACATTATTAACTCAGACTGTGTGTTAAGGTTATAGTCAGCGATGAACTGCATTTCTTCTTCTTCTTCTTGTTAAACTATGGAAGAAAGTTCTAGTTGTTCATCCACTTCTGGACTTTGGGTCTGTTCCAGAACCTGAGTATTGCATGCACATCTATTTTACAAATTGGGCTTATTTGTATGCACAGTGTTGGTTCTTTAGCTCTTAGGCAGATGGACTCTTTGACTTCAAAGGAAATATCACTAGTTAGTTGACTCTTATGACATATATGTCAGATGCAAGTGGAACTATCTCCCCCTCCCCCCCCCCCCCTTACAATGGGGCCCTGGAAACCACATAAGGAGAACTGCATTTCTAGAACCTGACTGTTTGTGTCGGCACTTCCAGTGGTTGCATTATGGGTGAATATGTGTGTGTATGCTACTGGCTTTGCTGAGACTTGTCTGTCAATATTGTCACAAAACCAGTGATGGACATTCAGTGTGGGTTTCACTGGCATGGGAATGCAGCAGCTATGGGATGACGCTAGAACTGCTATTGCAGTCTTTGCACCGGAACCCACAGTGGCATATAAATAAATAATAAAAAAAAAAAAAAACACACATGGAAAAGTGAGCTAGAGAGCAAAGTTAAAAAGATGGGGAGAGCTGCATGCAATAGCAAAGGATAGAACGACTTGGTGTGAGTTGGTTGAGGGCCTATGCTCCACTGGGGGTTAGAAAGGCAGAAGAGAACTGCCATTACCTGATTACGAGACTACATGTTCACCATAAATGCCTCACTGACTCTGCAACATGTGGATGTTGATCACCAAGGCAAACCCGAGAGCATGTCTTACAAGTCTGTATAGATTTTGCAGTGAAAACAAATCTGGAACAAGGGGGATCCTTTAAAACATACTACAGGGAACTGGTGAAAACCCTAATCCTCTGAGACCCCTGCTGGAATAGATGCACAGCAACTGTTGATAGTTGAAGAAATCAAAGAAAGTTTTCACAGTAGCTGTCCAAGATGGGAAATCATCAGTTTGAAAAAAAAATCTTGTGTTATTTTCAAAGATACTAAGTCTGCAGTGGAAATGGCCTCTTTAGAAGCTGGAGTTCTCTAGTATGCTCTGCCCAAATGTAAAAAAAAAAAGGCTGGAAAACATATTACTTGAGCTATGTGTAAGGGTATGTTCACGGTAGTCCATACATGCCCATAGGTGCTTAGATTTCCTTTTTAATACACACTTCAGGATTCCGCAGCTAACGGTGCCAGTCCTATGCTGATTGACAAGACTTTTCATATGTCCAGTATGCCTCTCAAGCCTGACTATGCTGATCTCTACTCTTAATTCTTAGCAGTGATGTGAATGCAGTGTCCTCAAAAAACATTGGATCGTCCATCTCTCTAAGTGCATTAACAACACTGGCTCAATCCATAGTCTGGTCATCAGAAGCTAGGGCAGAGTCAGCCAATCTATCCGCTCTTTCACTGCCAACAACACCATAATGCCTCTGGGCAAAAAAGAAAGTAACTGTGCTTTGGTGTATCTTTTGCAGCGACAGTCATTGTAAGAAGCCTGCCTTGATCCGTGAGACATCACAGTGACCCAATAACAATGTTTAAGAAGTCAAACCACCAGAACATGTCCACGATCTCCTGTATAATCTTAAAAACACTTACGTTTAGGGTAACAGTTATGAATGACACAGAAATAATCCAAATCTAACCTGTGAGCGTCCACTCATCCCGGACTCATGCTGAGACCTCTGAAAGTCCAGGTAGCCAAACTGATCTGAGTAAACATCCTGCATACTGGAAGAGGGAATAGTTACAAAGTAGGTACTGGAAAATATCCTGGAAAGTAAAGGTAAGCAAGTAAAGGTAAGCAAGTAAAGGTAAGCAAGTAAAGGTAAGCAAGTAAAGGTAAGCAAGTAAAGGTAAGCAAGTAAAGGTAAGCAAGTAAAGGTAAGCAAGTAAAGGTAAGCAAGTAAAGGTAAGCAAGTAAAGGTAAGCAAGTAAAGGTAAGCAAGTAAAGGTAAGCAAGTAAAGGTAAGCAAGTAAAGGTAAGCAAGTAAAGGTAAGCAAGTAAAGGTAAGCAAGTAAAGGTAAGCAAGTAAAGGACACTTTTCCCTGCCTTCAGGCATATTTGTGTCTATAGGGCTACATCTACATTATATAGACCAATCAGCACTTGGTGAGTGATGTGGTCAATGCCGGCTGCCTTTACTTCCCAGGACACTAACTGGTACCCATTTAAGGCTGGCTCGACGTAGGGGCCAAGGTCATCTTTAAAAAAAAATTTGGCTATGCTGGGACATGAAACCACAACCTTCAGATCTGCAGGCAAGCCAGCGTCTAGTTGCTACATCACAGGGAAAAGTAAAGGCAGTCAGCATGATACTGATCAGATAATCCACTGAGTGCTCTATGGCCTAAACAAATTTGGTGCTAGAATTATTTACGCATAAACTTCACAGCAAGAAAATTAGTTTTGCATGAACATTTTTATTTTCAAAAGTACACTCTCCATGTTCCTTAACTCTGTCGGTACCATTTGCCATACCAGTGTGTATGGCAGCGAAATCAGGAAATTATTCCTGCTAGACAATGCTGCAGAAGAATAAACTAAAATGTACGTGACGCAGTGAACTAAGCAGATAAACACAGAAGAAGAAGTAGAATGAATTAGTCACTACTGTATGGACAGTTTTCAAATTCTTCTTCGCATTAACCTGGCTGTAAACTTTGGAGGAAAGATTTGGTTGTTCATCCACTTCTGGACTTTAGTCTTGCTCCAGAACTTGAGTTTTGCACGCATATCGGTTTTGAAAATATGCCTTATTTTATGCAAACAATTTGTTCCTCTCAGACGGATGCACTCAGACTTCCCTATTTAGTCAACTCTTATGACATGCTTGTTAGGGGCCAGTGGGTATATTCTTTTTTCCACCACAATGAGGCGCCGGAAACCGCATAGGAGATTACACGTTCTATATCTTATTTTTCTGCATTCCCCCTTGTTTGTTTTAGTATCCAGAAGCCATGAGTTGTTAACCCTTAGGCTCGGTATTATGGATATTGCAACCTTTCGGCCTTGATTCCATTGTAAATACCATAAATCTGAGAGAAATGAGGCTTTTCTGCCTACCTCAGCGAGTAAACCCGGACCGCAAGGAGTTCGTCACCCGGTCACCACACAGTCCGGTTTAGCCATCTACACTAGAGAGCCAGGCGCATTCCCCTTTAAAGGATAAGGGAATTGAGGGATGGGGGGGGGGGGGGGGGGGGGTTTAGCACCATTTATTGTGGTTTATGCCAAGGCTGTGACATCTGAACCCTTCCGCCCAATACATCTGTTTTCAGCAGACCTTAACTTGTGACCTTTGCATGTAAAAAGCAGTGGCTCTACCGCCCTCCCCCCTCCCAACACCACCACCAAAACAACTCCAGGGCTATTGAAATCATATGAAGAACACATTCTATATTATGAGTGCAGTGATTTTATAGCATATTGCAGTTGTTGGAACAAAATCAGTATAAACTTCCAATTATACAACTCTAAAACAAAAAACAAAAAAAAGGAATTTTCACTAAACTGTATGTCTGTCAATGAATTACCCATTATAATATGAATAGTTTCTATTCTTCTCTACAGGCAACTAAAGCCTTACCTGTGTTTCATGATCTCTATAACATCTTCTGCATCAGTCTTGGTTGCCAGCTCCCGAAGTTCGAGCCGAGCCCTGGCTTCTGTTAACCTAGCAGAGACAAGAACAGCAAACTGTCTTGGATAACAAAAGCATAAAATACCTACTGTATTCAACTCTTTAGTAGCAGGTAGCTGCTACTACAACACTTTTCATCCTCCTAGGAGAGCTAGCTGCCCCCAACACTGCTGGCTGCAGTGCCAGGTGTGACCACACCTTGCAGACAAGAAAGACCTGGTTACAGAACCCGAATGACTGGACAGGTATCAGGTATGTAACCATAAGATCCATTTCAAGTGACCGCTACAGGTGGAGAGAGCTGATCAGACAGTCAACAGAAACTGGTGACCCAACAACATATAGTGTTACGGAATGATGATGATAATGAGGATGATTTCACCCACACGTAAACCGGCTACCGGCCATCCTGGATACCACGACTCAGCCACTGCACAAATGAAAAGCATTCCACATGAAAAACACAGCCCACAGGGCTGCATCAAGCACTGAACTCAGAGCTCAGGCAGCAAAACCGCAGACTACCGCCCATATGTGGAAACTGCATTAGCAAAGCACTGTCGGAAGCAAAAACAGCTTCAAAACTTAACATTTCGCCATACATATCCTCCATTTTAGACCAGAAGTCTCCGAAGTAGCCAATGCTCTGCCAGAACTACCAATAATGCTAATGCCAGAAAATAGACTGGCTTCACCTGAAAAATCATGTTAGGGTCACATTCTCTGGTAGGTCTTATTTTCAGGGAAGCATTGCATTATAGGGAGTTGCCGTGGTGTTGCGTCTAGACGCTCGCCTGCGATAGGAAGGTCATGGATTGGGGTCCTGACAAAGCTAGACTTCTGTTAAAAATGACATTGACTCCCAGGTTCACCCGGCTTTGAGTCGGTAACAGGCGCAGTCCTGGGAAGTAAAGGCAGCCCACATGATGCTGACTACATCACCCACCAAGTGCCAGGTCTAGCCCTATATGGCCAATACGCCTTAAGGAAGGGAAAAGGGTCCTTCACTTTCTTTTACTTACGGTAGTTGTATATCCTGTACAGCAGGGCTATTCAACTAAGTTTACTCAGGGGCCAGAAAGTTGAAAATAGGAACTGTCTCGGGGCCAGAGGCCTGAGCCTCCATGTGACAATGTCACTCTCTGACTCATTCTCATGCTGGACTTTTCACGTGCCTCAATTATGCTGTAAAGTCTGGACACATGATAGTATAGTCGAAACACAATGATGATGTTGATAGTTTATTGTGGTACAACAAATAAGTCATTCAGTTGATGACCTATGTTCTTCCTGCTTACTGACATTCGCTAAGGAGTGACGGCCATGACAATATGACATCTAGACAATCAGTGCAATTACCTGCCAGTCTGAAGGTTCCATTCACTCAGGTATTGGCATCTGGATCACAGTCATACAAATGTTCACAGACATTGGACGTTGCAATTCAGAATCAACTCTCTTCAGACATTCCGAGCTTCCAAAAGCGGCATTCCTTTACTTCACAATCAACGTTCACCTCAGTCACATCATCAAGCAACCTGCCTCTCACACTGTAAAACACAACTGACTCTACATTGTCTCTACGTTCAAATATTCATTCTAAAGAGCAGTAATACAATATTAACTGGCGATGATCCACAGGCCACTAGCTAGGCCTCCAGTAGAATAGCCTGGTTTTATAGGATGTTGAAAAACGACCCCAACATTTGTTGGTTATTTCTGGTTTTACCAAGTAATTTTACATTCAGTAGTTTTCCACTGCTTTCTGAAGTTTGAGACTCATACTCTCCATGCGGATACTGAGGCCCCATTTTTAGGGAAAGTTAAGGAACCCACTGCCCCCCTAACAAGCACACTGTAATAGGTAAAAAAAATGAGGGTTTACTGAAAGTGGATATACTGGGCTGGAAGGCACAGATACTGCAGCCTAGCTTTAAACCACAACACAGGGACCCAACTACTCTTAAAAGGGGGAATGAAGAAGAAGAGGACACTCATACCCAAAGAAGAGTGTTCAGAGGAAAAAGAAGCAACATCATAGCACCAGGTTTTGTCCTTTATGGTCCAACCGGATGATTAATGAGTCCAAGCCATTCTTTATTTAGGCAGATGGTGTTTATATTCTTCCTTTAGTTGTTTCCTTTGCACACACACACAAATAAGAAAAAAAATTTAAAAACAACAACACACAATTAAAAAGGGAAAATAACAGAAATAATAACCTCATCAGGGACTCTAACTGACGTGTGGTAATTGGTGTGCTATCTCGGCTCTGGTGGCGCTGACGCAGTGACAGGTAAAACTCCTGAAACAAATAATTTAATAATTAGATTTTAACATCCCAACATTGTGTATTTCTTGATGATTTAAAAACAAATTTGCTTATTTATGTAAAAAACAATAACAGTGGAACCTCTCATAACGAGCAAACCAAATTGTAAAAGAATGACTTGCTTAAAGAGCGATGTTTCACATAACGAGTGATGAGGAAATGGTAAGTCCTGGATTGCGTGTATGTTACATCAGTATGTGTTTAGCACTCGTTCCAGTAGCATCGTAGTGTCGCTTGTGATCACACATTTTCTCAAACTTTTGTTATATTGTGATATATGTACATGAATCCTCCAGGCCTACAAGATGACCTCCCTGAATAATTCAAGTTCATCAAGATCCAGTTTCTGCCTCCTAACACCACTCCATTGCTCCAGCACATGGACCAGCAAGTTATTTCTAACTTTAAGAAGCTCTACACTAAAGCACTTTTCGAGCATTGTTTTCAGGTGACTGAAGGGACCAACCTCACTCTCAAAAGAGTTTTGGAAAAATCACTTCCACATCGTTGCCTGCCTCAAGATGATCAACAAGGAGAAAAGGGGGGGGGGGTTACCAGGAGAACCCTAACTTCTGCTTGGAGGAAGCTTCAGCCCGAGAGCGTAGTTGAATGTGACTTTGAAGGATTCAAGACAGTACCTGTGTAACCTGTCGTCAACGAGATTGTGTTTTTGGCCACTATCATGGGACTGGAGGTGGATAACAGTGATATTGAAGAGTTTGTGGAAGAGCACATCCAAAAGCTGACCACCGAAGAGCTTATGGAGTTGCATTGTGTTTCACAGCAAGAAGTTTTGGAGGAAAGTTTGTCAGAGGAGGAGGAGGAGAAGGTATCAGAAAAGCAACAATCTTCTGGCGAAATAAGAGAAATGCTGAAAGCATGGGAAACTGTTGCATCTTACATTGAGGTGCATCACCCCAATAAGGAAGTGGCTATGCGCGCTGCAAATTTATTTAATGATAATTCGGTGTCGCATTTTCCAAAAATTTTGAAGCATTGGCAAAAACAAATGTTTCTGGAGATTTTCCTAGTAAAAAATAATTAGCTATGTATCATAATTATTTTGACTTTTTTGTTTTGTTTTTTGTTTTCTGCAAATCAAATTTGCATTCCAGGTGGGTTCGATCCGCAGTGGAAGAAAAGATGAAGATTATCACTCTCCTTAACAATATGTATATAATTTTCTTTGAATAAACACTATACATAACATTTTGTGAGTATTTTTAAAAAAAATGGAACGCATTATTGCATTTTACATTAATTTATATGAGAAAAATTGTTTCGCATAACGAGTGTTTCGCATTACGAGTATGATTCTGGAACAAATTATTTCCTTGAAACTCCTGCAGCTCTTCTAAGGCATTTCATCTCTGTTGTAATAAATTTACATTCATTGGAGGATGTAAGTGTCCACATTCGGCACTGATAGCATAGTCTTAGCCAAAATATAGTTCTGATAAGATTCACTTTAGTACTCCGGGGTATCTGCTTGTGTGTCAACAGGTGAGATAGTTACCCCATTACATTCATGGTTAAAACATACATACATGAGGACAACCATGTTCATTTGAAAAACTAGTACATCAAAATCTGTAAGAGGAAACAAGCATTTAAAGTAAAAAACAATAAATAGAAGACTGGTTACCTGGATGACGGTTGCTGCATCTGATCCAATCTTAGGGTGAACATACTTTCTTGCATAGCCAATATACTGGAAATATAATCACTTATGTATAAAAAAGAGCAAGTCCACATACCAAGTTGCAGACAGGCAATAACCTAAACTGTAACCTACCATGTATATCAGAAGGTAGGGCTATTCAAGTGGAGGACAAATCCTGCTTGTGGAGGCCTAGCAAGTGACCCACGGATCACTGCCAAAACAGCGATCCTAGTACGCTGGGGCTCAGGCCTCAAGTCAGTAACAATCCTTATTTTTCTGTCTTTTAGCCACTGAGTAAACTTAGTTGAATACCCCCATCATTAGGGGTGACTAATGAGAGTTGGTGTCAGTTAGGCTGGTTTGTCCTTTAGAAAACTTTAGCTAGAAAATCCAATCACATTTGATCAAATGTACAAATTGCTACCAACGGCTTATGTTTCATTGAGAGATTACAGATAGAAAAGACATGTAGCTAGATACACTAAATTCATTCATCTTCTCTGAATCCAATATCGAGCAATAGCAGGATTCAACCTGCATACAGCCATTTGATGTAACTGAAGGCAAGTCAGAGTGACACTACTACAACTTAAACTAGCCCATGTCACAGGTGAGAAAGCATAAATGAAAGCCCAATTACACTATGTTTGGGCCAGGAAAAGTAAATAGGACCTTTCCTTTATGTTTATGGGAAGTTTAGTTAGGTGTATCTTCAGATCAACTGAATGTTGCTCCTGTAATTAAAAAAAAAAATGTAAGTGTCTGTTGAGAATGCACTGCAGGCTTGCCAATAGCATTGTTTTCTGATTACACCTGCATCCAGAACTCTTCTTGGCTTCCTTTATGGTGTTTCTGTTTAAAACTGCTGTCCTTGCTGATCTCAAGCACATTTTTAAAACATTCTCGATTACTGTCGCAGCACCGCTGGCATAAGCTCACGGCACCTGGGTGCAGCAGCCCCCAGAATACCATGCTACCCCAGACCACCATGCTGCCCTAGAACACCATGCTACCCCAGAACACCATGCTGCCCCAGAACACCATGCTGCCCTAGAATACCATGCTACCCCAGAACACCATGCTGCCCCAGAATACCATGCTGCCCCAGAATACCATGCTACAAAGAACACCATGCTACCCCAGAATACCATGCTACCCCAGAACACCATGCTGCCCCAAAATACCATGCTGCCCCAGAACACCATGCTACCCCAGAACACCATGTTGCCCCGGAACACCATGCTGCCCCGGAACACCATGCTGCCCCAGAATACCATGCTACAAAGAACACCATGCTGCCCCAGAATACTATGCTACCCCAGAACACCATGCTGCCCCAGAACACCATGCTGCCCCAGAACACCATGCTGCCCCGGAACACCATGCTGCCCCGGAACACCATGCTACAAAGAACACCATGCTGCCCCAGAATACCATGCTACCCCAGAACACCATGCTGCCCCAGAACACCATGCTGCCCCAGAACACCATGCTGCCCCAGAACACCATGCTGCCCCAGAACACCAGTCTACCCCAGAACACCAGTCTACCCCATAACACCAGTCTACCCCATAACACCAGTCTACCCCATAACACCACGCCACCCCAGAATACCACGCCACCCCAGAATACCACGCCACCCTAGAATACCATGCCGCCCCAGAATACCATGCCGCCCCAGAATACCATGCCGCCCCAGAACACCATGCCGCCCCAGAACACCATGCCGCCCCAGAACACCATGCTGCCCCAGAATACCATGCTGCCCCAGAATACCATGCTACAAAGAACACCATGCTACCCCAGAACACCATGCTGCCCCAAAATACCATGCTGCCCCAAAATACCATGCTGCCCCAGAACACCATGCTGCCCCGGAACACCATGCTGCGGGTGGGGGTGGGGTGGGGGGGGGGGGGGGGGGCCCAGAACACCATGCTGCCCCAGAATACTATGCTGCCCCAGAACACCATGCTGCCCCAGAACACCATGCTGCCCCAGAACACCATGCTGCCCCGGAACACCATGCTGCCCCGGAACACCATGCTGCCCCAGAATACCATGCTACCCCAGAACACCATGCTGCCCCAGAACACCATGCTGCCCCGGAACACCATGCTGCCCCGGAACACCATGCTGCCCCAGAACATCATGCTGCCCCAGAACACCATGTTACCCCAGAACACCAGTCTACCCCAGAACACCAGTCTACCCCATAACACCAGTCTACCCCATAACACCACGCCACCCCAGAATACCACGCCACCCCAGAATACCACGCCACCCCAGAATACCATGCCGCCCCAGAATACCATGCCGCCCCAGAACACCATGCTGCCCCGGAACACCATGCTGCCCCAGAACACCATGCTGCCCCAGAATACTATGCTACCCCAGAACACCATGCTGCCCCAGAACACCATGCTGCCCCAGAACACCATGCTGCCCCGGAACACCATGCTGCCCCGGAACACCATGCTACAAAGAACACCATGCTGCCCCAGAATACCATGCTGCCCCAGAATACCATGCTGCCCCAGAACACCATGCTGCCCCGGAACACCATGCTGCCCCAGAACATCATGCTGCCCCAGAACACCATGTTACCCCAGAACACCAGTCTACCCCATAACACCAGTCTACCCCATAACACCACGCCACCCCAGAATACCACGCCACCCAGAATACCACGCCACCCCAGAATACCATGCCGCCCCAGAATACCATGCCGCCCCAGAACACCATGCCGCCCCAGAATACCATGCCACTCCAGAACACCATGCTACCCCAGAATACCATGCTGCCCCAGAATACCATGCTACCCCAGAACACCATGCTACCCCAGAATACCATGCTGCCCCAGAACACCATGCTACCCCAGAATACCATGCCACTCCAGAACACCATGCTACCCCAGAATACCATGCTACCCCAGAACACTATGGCTCACTGGTGTAAAGGTAGATCTACTATTTGATAAATCTCACTTTTTTGTGTCTTCCTTTTTTTTAAATGAAATAAGCTTTGATTAAGTTCAGTTTTCTTTGTTAAATGGTCCTGTTGCTAAGAGGTTAGTGAATTTGATGATTTTTATGGTGGATGATTAATTTAAAAAAAAAAAAAAGTAAAAGTGTTGGACGTTTTTGGACAGTAGGAGCAGAATCACACTGTAGAAGAGATTGGGGGCCACAGGACATAACACTTCCAAAGGCAGCAGTGTGCACTGTAGCAAACCTTCATGGTTATGCAGACTGCATAGAATTGTTTCTTAGTTTCAATACACATCAGACTGACTAGCTTCATTGTTGGGTACAAACACTGCAACCTACCTTTCTCAGAAGCTGATGAGGGATGGGATCAGTGACCACAGATCTGGACATCTTGAGCCGCTCAGCCAAGGGTTTCTCGGTCTCCCACTGAAGCCTTGATGTGTTCTGGCATAAACAGTCAATTGTCATTTAATTACTTCTTCTTATTCTTCATGCTCATGGGCTGCAAACTCCGGCAGAAAGTTCAGGTTGTTCGTCCATTTCTGGACTTTGGTACTTGAGTTTTGCATGCTCATCCATTTCACAGATATGGCTTATTTGTATGCAGACTGTTAGTATCTTGCCTCTCATGCAGTTACACAATGCCTTTGAAGGAAACTCCCCTAATCAGTTGACTCTTACGACATGCCTGTTAGGGAGGCAGTGGGCACCAGAACCCATATGGGGAGTATTAACAATATCTGATTTAACTGCATCCTGAGGCAGTCAGTATGGACTACTAGTTCCTAATGCTGACAGTACAGTTTCTTTGTGGATGGTAAACTGATCTGTGTCACACAGTGCCCAAACTCTGTGGCTCTGGTGACAATCCTCAGGGATCTCTGTTAAAAAATGCACTCATAAACTGAACGAAACAGCTGCAAACTGAACCAACAACCTTCACTGCGCAAGGCAAAAAGCCTAATCACTTCACCAGGAAGACCCCCCCCCCCCCCCCCCCCCCCCCCACAGTAAACTTTACATTAGTAAGGACTATTATCACAACATCCTGGACAAACCACAGATGCTCTGGTCTACTCTACAAAAGCTCTACAAGCATAACATAACTGATCACACCTGTTTTGTGTTGATTAATCAAATTTCTTTTCCTTACACCCAACAAAATACTAAAAGAACTATCATCATCATCATGTTGAAAATTGTTTGCAAAACACTGCTCCCATCATATTCCACTGGCAAGACCTTGCCCCTTGCAATTTCTCCTGTCTCGGGTATCTTCAGGCTCAAAGTGTCTCTAATAGGTTGTGATCATCTTGGATGACATTGCTCCCCTGTCCAGTGCCAGACTAGTCATAACTCTTAGTGTCTGCCAGATATATTCAAATGAAGAGGTATGTGACTGTATGCTAGGAAATTTTTTCATTTTGTACAAAATAACACTCAATGTACAACTCACAGAGCATGTTTAGAAAGGTGGAGACAGGCATGATTCATGCAGAGTGGCAAGCATCAATTTCCTGGTAGTTAGCATCCTTTAGATATTTCTCCAGGTCATGAGGGTGTGTTGGGAAATCAGCAGGCAGATAGGCTGGCTAGCTCTGCACCACTTGGTGGTGAAATGATGTATGACAAGCAAGATATTGTGAGGGCCCTTTGGGAGCGAGTGAACAGTGCAGAGACACAGATAGATCATAATGGTCTGAGGAGAATGCAGCTGCAAGGAGTTATCAGGGGATCTGGCAGATGCTCAACACTCAGAGGAAGGGTGAGACAGATATACAATAAGTTACTGCTGCCATCAAAATTGAAACTGAAGATGTGGACGGAGCGCTTATGGGAGTGTCCCGAGTGCTCTGATGCCGATTCTTAATTCAACATACAATGTACAAAGATTTGTCCAAAAGTTGTCATTATTTCTCTGTAGATGACACAAGGAGAATTTGAACACAGTGAACAAACTCTGTAAGAACAGCAAGGATACAAATGGGTGTATGCCAGTGTCACACTTACCATACACATTTTGATTGTTTGCTTTGTTGGAAGCTTTTCTAAGTTGGACATTTTAAAGTTACTATAGGGAAGTTACTAACTTGGCTTGCCCTTTTCAATTTCTAAATACTGAGAGGTATTCTTAATGTGTGCATTGTTGTCACAGGCCTCTGAGTTAATCCCCCCCACTCTGAGGTACACCATCAATTTTCTTATTTTGTGAAAATCCAGTCAAAGGAGTAAATATAAGAGGTAGAAGGAGACTAAACATGCGGATAGGAGAATAAGTGACAGAAATAAATAATATATAGAGAACATGGAGGAAGCTGCCGGATATGAAAACAGGTGAAAATCTTGGTATGAGTTGGCTGTGCTGCAATAGAAGCTCACCTGCCAGCTCGAAGGGGAGTTAAAATCTGCATCAAGACAGATTTCTTTCTTTCAAAGTTGACCTTGGCTTCCAGGATGAGCCAGGCTGAAATGGGTACCAGGCAATGTCTGGAAAGTAAAGCCGGTCAGCCTGATGTTGTTGACTCACATTATCTGCCCGAGTGCCGACTGATCTATTAAATTAGAAGTCTGGTATCATTTGCCTGATGCATCACTGCCATTGAAAAAAAAAAAGGGTACCCTTTACTTTTCTTACTTAAAATGCTCCAACAGAGAATAAACAAACCTAAGAACAAACTATATTTTCAAAGGAACAACAATTGGACCCCTCCTACATACTGCCCTTTTGGTCAGAAGAGGAGGGTTGTCTTTTATGCACAACATGAGATATGGTCTACTGCTGAATACCTAGGTCAGAAAAAGCTAGCGTAACAGAAACAAGAGAACATCAAACAAACAGCTACACACGGGTATGAAAGAACACTGGTGATTATTAGCAATCAGATTTATTTAGTGCTAAAGTGTACACAGAGGACCCTTTTAATACCATCATCAGATGTGGCATTCAGTGCTAGTCTCAAATTTTAAACACTATTTGGCACTTAACTGGTGATGTAGTTAATACCATATTTACATCCTTTTATTTCTCACGACATTTCCTTGTACCCATTTTAGGCTTAATCAACCTGGGGACAAATGTACATTTTTAAAAAACTCCATCCTGATGCAGATTCAAACTAAAGACCTCTGGGCCAGCAACTAGCCACTGCGCTACCACAGCTCCCTGGCACTGAAAGCAACTGACAGAATAAGAGGTGGTGGGGTCGTATGATCAGATGACTTAACTTTCGGCTGACTAACCTGATGATGATGATACTGGTACTAACCTGGCTGACTCTCTTTGCAGTCACAGAGAAAATGTCACTGGTGATCAAAGAATAAAAAAAAAAAAAATTATGTTACTGTAAATAATTTACAAATTGTTACAATAGACATTGTGGCAGAAGAGTAGTAAGCACTAGAAACATCCCACTGCCAGCGGACAAACTATTGAGACTTCTGTGATGCCGAAGCTTCCATGGAAACGAGAGCATATTTGAACAAGTATCAAGTATTTGGTTGAGCAGGTGGTTAACTCTTTCAGTACCAAACAGCTGCCACTTCAACAGTTTCTAATGTTCAATTTATATGCTTTATAGCAGCGGTTCTCCCATGTGGGTTCTGGGTCCAAATGTGGGGAACAACAAGAATAGCCCCACTGCCTCCCTAACAAGCATGTTGTACTTAGTGGTTCCCTTCGAAGTTGGACTGCATGTACCTGGGAGACAAGGAAGCAACAGGGGTGATCTATTTGCTATGAATTCAGAACTGGGATTATCTGATAAGTAAATCTGCAACCAAAAAAAAAAAAAAAAAAAAAACTTATCCCTCTAAGACGGTATTTGCCAGGGGAATCATTACAATCTGAGGAGAATGGCTCTGCAGGGAGTTACCAGGGGATCTGGCCAACGCTTAAGGGAAAGGTGAGACTGTTGTACAACCAGACAGTTACTGGTACTATCAGAATTGAAACTCTTCGCTTGCTGCTGAAGATGGAGACAGAGAACTTTTGGTAGTGTCCTGATTGCTATGATGTTGATTCTTAATTCAACATTCAACATTGCTAAAGGATTGTATCACATGAGTAAAATAGATGCACAAGACTGACAACACGGTAATAGTGGTCTGACCAAGTAAGTCTGTGTTTATTACCTTTTGGTACCTGCATGAAGCGCCATGACATGTTCTGACAGAACACAATCCATCTCCTGTTAGATTCATACAACAGCAGTAGTTTATTCAACCCCTTTACAGTCTATAAGAGGTAATATCTTAATCATATATTTTGCAGGTTTAGATGTAAACCCTTTTGAGTAATAATGAAAACTGAACCACAGAACTATTTGCCAGGTGCAGAGTGTCAAGGACTTGTTAGCCGTGCAACTGGAGGAAAACCTTTGGGAACTTCATTGGTAAACTTGAACCACCGCACGGTGAGGTCAGAAGGACTCACAAGGGATAGTAAACTGCGTGTTATCAGAGGCAGGTGACTGCTCAAAGTACACAAAGAGGAGTTGACTCTAGGATGTTGAAGAAGAAGAACAGCCCATGAGAACTGATGTTACTATTACATTCGCAGCTGTAGCGCAGGATCAGGGACTTTGGATGTCACTGTATGTTCTATTCTGGGTGTTGACACTCTGCAAGTGTGCGGTGCATCATCAAGCCACACACGTGTCACTTTTCTTTCCAGGAGTGCAACCAGAGATCAACACCCAGTGAATCAAATAAACAGCCACTATCTGTGTGCAAAAAACAGGGTAAAACCTCAGAAATCCTGTTTAACCATATAAAACAGTTATAACTGAGCTTCTGACAATTACATAATAATTTGCTACCTAGTGCGGATGGGGGGGGGGGGGGGGGGGGGGGTTTACCCAGGACTCAGAAACACAAACATATAAGAAGCTACTGATAAAGATAATAAGAGGGATGACGACATAAGAGAAATGTCTGCGCAACCACTGGTTATAAGACAAAAAAGATGGTACTATTTTGGACACGTTCTGAGAAGAAATGAGCAGAGAAATCATCAAACAGACACTAAAATGGGAAAAACCGGGACTGAGGGAGCAAGGACGCCCACAAGAAACCCTAAAACAAATGTTGATAAGAGAGGCCAAAGATGCTTGACTGGATTCCATCCATGATATCAAAGGGATTGCACAGGATACAATGGAGTGGAGGAATAGGCTGTGAGCCCTATGTGATATATAGTGACACAACAGGATAATGATGATGAATAATACATTCTAATATCATTCTAGACAACATCTTATATTCTAAAATCCTGACAAGCAACACCTTATATTCTAATATACTGATAAGCATAAGTTTATATTCTAATACCCTAATAAGCAGTACCCTATATTCTAATACTTTGTCAAGTGATACCTTATATTATAATATTTGGCAAGCTACACCATACATTCTAATATTTTGATAAGAAATATCTGATATTCTAATAGTGTGATAAGCAACACCTATTTTTCTATTATGTTGACAAGCAGTAACTTATATTATAATATCTTTATAAGCAATATCCCATAGTCTAATATCTTGATATTTTATATTTTGATAAGCAATACCTTATATTCTAATATTTTGATAAGCAATACCTTATATTTTAATATCTTGATAAGCAATACCTTATATTCTAATTATTTTGTTAGGCAATACATAATATTCTAATAACTTGATAAGCAACACCTTGTATTCTAATATCTTGATAAGCAATACCTGGTATTCTAATATCTTGATAAGCAATACCTGGTATTCTAATATCTTGATAAGCAATACCTGGTATTCTAATATCTTGATAAGCAATACCTGGTATTCTAATATCTTGATAAGCAATACCTTATATTCTAATATCTTGATAAGCAATACCTGATATTCTAATATCTTGATAAGCAATACCTGATATTCTAAAATCTTGATAAGCAATACCTGGTATTCTAATATCTTGATAAGCAATACCTGGTATTCTAATATCTTGATAAGCAATACCTGGTATTCTAATATCTTGATAAGCAATACCTTATATTCTAATATCTTGATAAGCAATACCTTATATTCTAATATCTTGATAAGCAATACCTGGTATTCTAAAATCTTGATAAGCAATACCTTATATTCTAATATCTTGATAAGCAATACCTTATATTCTAATATCTTGATAAGCAATACCTGGTATTCTAATATCTTGATAAGCAATACCTTATATTCTAATATCTTGATAAGCAATACCTGGTATTCTAATATCTTGATAAGCAATACCTTATATTCTAATATTTTGATAAGCAATACCTGATATTCTAATATCTTGATAAGCAATACCTGGTATTCTAATATCTTGATAAGCAATACCTGGTATTCTAATATCTTGATAAGCAACACCTTATATTCTAATATCTTCATGAGTAATACCTGGTATTCTAATATCTAGATAAACTTCTTCTTCTTGTTCAATTCTTCTGTCAGAAAACTTGATGATGGCTGCAGTGCAGTTCAAATCTGACTGTACCATACAGCTTTATTTATATACCTCATATCTGAATATTTTGACAGGTAGCACCTTATACTCAAATATCTAGATAAGCAACACCTCCTATTCTAACACCTTGATTAGCAACATCTCGCATCTGGACAACAGAATCTTGGTCAAATATCCTGGTAAAGCATGTCACAGTTAACAAACCAGGATCAACAGACCACATACCTCATCTGGCTTGTCCAGCATTATAAAGACCAAATCAAAGCGAGACAGCAATGCACTGCCTAGTCTAAGTGAAAAAGGAAATCAATGGGAGCTTTCATTTAGAATGTTACGTTTTGGGGGCAAAAGAGAAAAAGACAAGCACACACACACACACACACATATATATATATATATATATATATATATATATATATATATATATATATATATATATATATATATATATATATATATATATATATATATATATATATATATATATATATATATAAGATATAAGAAGCTGCAGAAAAAGATAATAAGAGGAGTGAAGACATAAGAGAAATGTCTGGGCAACCACTGGTAACAACATATGGTAATACTGGTAACAATATATATATTGTTTAATTCAACAGAAGATATATATGTGGTGTCTAACTCAATAGAAGATATTTATATGGTGTCCAACTCAATAGAAGAAAAATATGTGGTGTCTAATAAAGGACAAGCAAAGATATATATGTGGTGTCTATTAAAGGACAAGCAAAGATATATATGTGGTGTCTAATAAAGGACGAGCAAAGATATATATGTGGTGTCTAAACTAATAGAAGATTTATATGTGGTGTTTAACTCAAGAGAAGATATATATGTGGTTTCTCACAAAAGACGAGCAATTTCTTTTTATTTCCAGATTTCTTAGTGCCATTAAAGCTCATTTTACTTTCTAAAGTTTTATTTTTATATCTCTGTCTGTTCCACCAGTTTTGACTACATTGAGACTTCAAACAACAGACAACTCCGCCATCAGAAGTGGGGTTTGAGCGGGAGTTTGGAGAGTCAGGCGAGAAGAGGAAGGTCTTGGATGGCGCAGGCTGAAGACACAATTAGACATATGTGCAGCTTTGGGCAAGGAAAAGTGAGGATCAAAGTGTCTAAGCAGGAATAAGATTTGTGTGGGATTGCAATCAGATTAGGCCGATTAGGGACTGGCCAGCTGGTGCTGCAGAAACAGAAGTTAAACAAATGATTCATGACGATTCCCAACTAGGTTATGTGATTATCTATACAGATGGCTCTGTGTTGAGAGGCAGACGAAGTGCATGCAGGTTCACAGCAAACGCAAATGGACGTCGCTTAGTACAACAAAGCCTAGCATATGATATCACAATGTCTAGTTTGAGAATGGAGATGGAGGCAGTCACTGCTGCCTTCCGCTGGCTTGAGATTCATCTGTAGACACAAGTTGTCATTGTAACTGACTCACAGAGCATACAGACAAAGGTGGAGACAGGCATGCTCCATGCAGAGTGGCAAGCATCACTTCAGAGGTCCAGGGTAGTTAGCATTCTTTGTATATTTTCTCCAGGTCATGCTGGTGTGTTGGAAACAAGCAGTCAGATAGACTGGCTGGTTCATCTGATGAACTGATGTATGACAAGCTAGATACTGTGAGCGCCCACAGGAGTGAGTGCAGTGCGGAGGCACAAATAGATCAATTCAGTCTGAGGAGAACGGCACGTTGAGGAGTTAACAGGGGATCTGGCCAATGCTCAACACGCAAGGGAAAGGCAAGATGGATACACAATCAGACAGTTACTTGTGCCATCAGAACTGGAACCCTTCTCTTACTGCTAAAGATGGGGTACGGAGTGCTTATGGGAGTGTCCGAGTGGTGTCATGTCGATTCTTCATTCAACATTTCTTTGTCCTTTACCAAATATTTTTCCCCCAAAAATCACTGCTTCAACAGAACTGTGGAAGCCGTCACACTGCTTTAGATTCTTTATTGTAAAAATACAGTTAATTTCAATATGAATATCATAAAACAAGTACCCTTATTTCTTAAACTATGCATACCCTTGCTTAAATCAAATTAATCCAAGTAATATAAGTAAACTCATCATCATCGCGTAGCAGGTCCTCTGCAGAATGTCTCTCTTCTCATGGTCTGCATGAAAAAATGTGGTCTCTCACCAGCTCGCCTACCTTGATCTTTCCTAACCAAAGTTTCATTTATAGCTAGTGGCCTTCTATACACTGATCAGCCCCTGCCCCTCTTTCCTAGTACCCTGCCTTATCCTATAATTCTTTCTAATGTGCCAGTGTGCTTAATATGACCAAAATATTTTAGTTTTCAAGATAAGATGCTGTTTATTAGCCTTCCTGATGTTTAGATCTTTTAGGATGTATCATCATCATCATCATATGCCTTGCCGACTGGCATGGGCCTCTCCACAATCCACGATCTCCTGAAGCATGTATCAGTTCGTGTGCTGACATACCTCCATGCCATGCAACAAGACTGTCAAGAATCTTCTCTTGTTGTCTTCCTCTATCCCTCCTTCCACAGATCTTTCCAGTGGTCACAACAAGTTCCATTTTCCCACTTCTCATAACATGGCCGAAAAAAGTGACCGTCTCCTTCTGATGTCTGTGATAAGCTGTCTTCGGGCTCCCGCCTCTTTCAAAAGCTCTTGGTTGGTCTTTTTGGCTGTCCAAGGTATTTTAAGCATTCTTCTGTAAAACCACATCTCTGAGGCCTCAAGAAATTGTTTGGCCTGCCTACCGATTGTCCAGGTTAAATGTTATATAATACTAGATAAACAATGACACCAGGGACTCACTTGAGGTTTTCAGACACAGTTTTGGCCTTATTGTAATGTCCACCCACCGGGTTAGCAGCAGCCAGGATTGATGTTCTTGCTGGCAAACTGGGGTAGGAAAAAACATGATTGCATTTTCAGAGAACTATACAATGTGTTGAAGCCTCCCTTGAGGTAGTTTATTTTTAAAAAAAGACAGACTCCTGGGTGACCCAACCCAATACATGTATACAGGTACCATAAAACAGGGCTATGACTTGTTGACTAATTCAGAAAATGGTGAATATGGGGGGGGGGGGGGGGGGAGTAACTGCAGTCATGCTAATACAAAGTATTCCAGTGAAATGTGACTGAAAAGCCTAATAAAAATCGGGAAGCAGAAAAACGTGCACAAAACAACCCAAATAACGTTTCGTGTAGTTCACGTCATGTTTGACAAAGGCTGCCTGTCGAGACATTTTTTGTGTTGTTCTGTGCATATTTTTTCTGCTTCCCCATTTCATGAAGCTTTTTAGTCACATTTCACTGGAATTCCTTGACAAACTCAGGCAACATAATTCTGACATGCAAAAAGGGTACCCTCAAACCAGGAGTTCATAAGTCTGTTGAAAACCAACTAATTTTTCTAATATGGTCAGACTTGACCATGGGACTTATCACCCTTTATTTAATGTTTTGGAGTTATGGGCCTTGCCTTCCACATCTTTTCTCTTGCTAGCATTTATTTTCTGCATTTAACGTGTCTCATATATTGAATTGGTCAGACAGACAGACTGGGTTTTTGTTGGAGAGACCACAATTAAGTGATTTTGTGTATTCTTGTCTGCTGTATATTCTGTCTATGCATGCCATGTGCTAATAAAGGGTTTCTAACTGCAACGAACACTTGTCATTTATTACTGTGATAATATCAAGCTGACTAGCTCTACATTTCGTCTGGTTTGACATCTTTCCATGATATATCATGTGCTTATCCATCCAACAAATATGACCCAAGCACCATATACTAGGTAGCGTAGAATTTAGATCTAGGGTTCAAATCATGGCTCCTCTCCCTCGCTTCCCCCTTTTTATTTTCAAAACAGATCTTGGATTCCAGCTCAATCCAACCTTAAACTAGTACCAGGTAATATCCTGGGAAGTAAAGGCAGGTTATCCTGACCATTATCCCCTAGTGTGCTTGCATCTATTAAAATATAGGTCAGTTATATGCCTGATGTGCAGTGTCCTTTATTTACTATTTATTTTAACATTTACTGAAAAGGCCCCATGACATAACAATGAGGTTTTTTATTTTTCTTTATTCAGGTGATGTCTGAAGGCAGCATACAATTGGGTTTCTGAGAAGAATGTTAAGAGCATCATGGCTGGGCACAAAAATAAATGAAGAAACCTTTCAGCAAAGAAACTGATGAAAATCATAAATTTATCAGTGACATTTTAGACATAGAGAGTCAAGATTTGTGGATACATAATGAAAAGAAATAAGCCTGGTTAGTGAAAACTTTGCAAATTTGTTGTTACTTGTTGTCTGTATCATCAGTCGGAGCCATCCGTGATACGTCCTCCAATGCAGCAGCCATCTCATTGGCTCTTAATTCACTGTATCTGCAGAAGTTGATTGATATATCCTCTTTCTTTACCCCGCAATCAGTTTCTGCATGTTGTCCTCATTTAATACCAATTTCCAACAGAACGCTTATCGTCTATAACTCTTTGTTTCAACATCGCAGTGTATTAAGTATGTCTGCCATGTAAATACTTCTTTGTCCACTAACAACTGCAGACAGACAGCCAATCTGTCAGTCTTTCCCTTTCATTGGAGCTGGGCATGTCCTGGTGTGTACGGACAAGACAGTTTCTTGAGGCGGGACGTCTGGATGTGAACAGAGTATAAGGAGGACAATGAGATTAATCCCTAGATGAGTTAACCTCATAGGGTATGTGGGTGAAGAAGACAGACTGCTTTCTTGGCTAAGCAAGAGCAATAACAAATATGCTGCTGCAGCTCATTAAGATGTCACCATTATCCTGTTGTGCCATTATATGTCTCATAGGGCTCGCAGTCTATCCCTCCATTCTTTCCTATCCTGTGCGGCAGCTTCATACAACTAAGACATTAAACAAAAATTTGCAATATAAAGTCTGCATATAAGTCTCTGTCGGTGCCTGTGGCTTAGGCAAATGCACTTCATAATGCAGGGGTGCTGGGTTCAATCCCACTGCAGGCAATTTGGCAGCAGACTGCCATTCGTTGGTTTCAATAGTGGTGTAGAGAGCTGATAATTCAGCAGCAATGACAAACTACTGAACGTAAAATTTGCTTAGAAAAACCACAACAGCCACACCTAAAAAAAACAAAAAAAAAAACAAAAAAAAACTGCAAGGATTGATCCTGTAAAGGATACATAACTAACTTTAAGTCTCTATAACATTTACAGTTTATAAAAGGGCAACAATGAATGAGAATCTCACCTGCACACAACTCCAGCCTTAGCTATGCTGATACTCTGCTGTTCCTAAAACACAAATGTAGCACGGTAAGCAAAACTTTTTTTTTTTTTTTAAACCTCAAAAATTGTTTGTGACTTTTTATGTTGTTTTTAATTATGTCACTGTATTCATATGAATGTATACGTGTATATTGCCAACTTATCGTGACCGACTACTTTCATCAATGACAAACTGCATTTTTTTTGGTGGTGACTGCTGGCTTCGGAACCTCTAGCAACTGCCATATGCATTGAATGCGTGCGCACATTCTAGACCGTTCCGGTACTCACTGTTTGTTCACCAGTTTTTCAAAAAGGTCACTGCGGGACATTTTATTTGATTTTCGCTGGCACAGGAATGGAGCAAGTATGCGGAAACCTGATTGCAGTGAAGGTGAAACCTTAACTAAGACGAAGACATTCATATGAACAAAACATCATCAACCTGTTATGTAGTTATATGTCATAAAAAGCTCACAGTCCATTCCCCCATTCTATTCTATATCCTGTGCAATCTTTTTCAATATCATCAATGGAATCCAGTCTAGCACTTTTGGCCTGTCTCTCAACAATCACTTTGGGTTTCAGCTGTTCATTTCCTCAATCCATTTGTTTCTCATTTCTGTGCCTGTTTGAGGCTTATCGCCACTTCTCCTCAGCTGGCATCTTTCCATAGTGTTCCATATAAACGGGTATATGTGTGAATCACAGCCCATGGAGAATGTATTAAGAGATGCAGATCTTCTATATAACATAAAGCCTAGGCTGTATTATAGAGACCATGTGTTGCCCAAGTAGCATGATCCATCTCTCAGCTTGCTTTTCTAAACTCAAAAGAAAGACGATACATCCTCAGGATGGGCCCAGTATACTGCTATTGTTGTCTTCTTGATATGTTGCCTTTACTAAGTTAATAAGTTTCTGTGGAATTCCATAGTGCCCCATCATTTTCCAGAGAGATTCCCTATCAATGCTGTCAAAATCCTTTTCACAGTCAATGAATCCAATGTAAAGTGGTGAATTCAGTTCAATGCTCTGCTCTATTAGTATTTGTAATGTGGCTATTTGGTCAGTACAAGATCTGTTTTGCCAAAAACCTGCCTGTTCATCTCTTAGCTTTTTATCAACAGCAGCTTTTGGCCATTCTAAAATAATCCTCCTTAATATTTTTTCAGAAACTAACAGCAAACATAATTCCTCTATAGTTTTCACACTCCCGTAGATCACATTTTTAGGCAGCTACACAAGATATCCTTCTCTCCAGTCTGCTGGTATTTCTTCGGTCTCCCAGACTTTACAAAATAATCTACGTCTTTGTCTTCTGTTGACAACAGTAGTTATTAACACATTAACTAATGGACTAGAGAATTATGAAGGAAATAAGGGAAAAGCGAGTCTATTGGCATAAAAAAAAAGTGAACAACAGCTACAGCAAAAAGCAAATATAGCCAGAACAACTTACCAACGCAAGCCCTACACATGACAAGATCAAAAGTGAAAGAGGCCATGCTAGAATATAGACTGATGACATTAAGGAGCTTCTACATCGAAACGAAATGACAACAGCCATTGCTGCCCATTAAGCAATAGATCGCAAACTGCTCCTCCCCACAACGCTTAACCGCAGAAGTGAAAATTGAAAAATTGATGAACTGATGATGAACTATGGCCACATTTTCCACTCACTGTGAGGTTTATGACAGCTTACCATTAAGTTTCAGGTCCACATTTGTTTAAGATGGTAGACCTACCAATGAATGGGTTCCACCTCCTTCAAAGTACCATCCTTCTAACTGTATACACTCTGGGAAGGCGAACCCAGGCAATAAATGCTTGAAGTTGGAATTGTCGACTGAAGGGCACAAATATCACAGCCAGATTTGCATGGAACTATATACCTACCATTGCCTCTAGCAAGGCCTGGTGTTGAGAGGTCATCTTGTCAAACTCATCTATGCAGCAACACCCTTGATCAGCCAACACTAGTGCTCCAGCTTCCAAAGCAAAATCACCAGAACCTCCATCTTTTGTTAAAGTCACCTTAATTCAGTTTTAAAAAAAAAACAGAATTAATAAACTGATTTGTTGAACAAAGCAAAAAAAAAAAAAAAAAAATTTTTTTTATTATATCTTTATATTAGATCCACATACCTTTGAAAATTATTTGTGTCTTTCATTTCTGAATGCAGAATATCATCTTTTTTCTGCACTTGCAATAACCCTTTCAGTACTATATAAGTCGTCCCCATGTAGGACGCCAGTTTTTTTAATTGAAGCTCCACCATGGCTTCTGTGGGAGGCCCTGAATATAGCCATAGATACGGCCCAACAGCTGAAAGAGATTTCTGGGACCTCTCCATGGGTGATCCTCATCCACATGGTGGCACTTTGTGTCACTGTGCGTTTATCTCTTGTGTGATATCTTGGTGGGGTACAACTACCTACTTACCTACCAATAACTCTTTCAGTCCCACGAGGTCATAGCTTATATCCAGGGGAGTTAAGGATGGCAGTACTAAACTCATGGGTATACTACTTCCGCAGGGGCCAAATATATACAACTCTTGCAGGAAAAGAAATATGTTTTCAGAGTTCTTCCCCTTATTAAACATAAGATGTAAAAACATAAATTATGTTGTACACAGAAATAATGCCCAAACACACATAGTACATTATTTGGGATAGAATAGGTTAAAATGGCAGTTGGTACACTGTTTTGTGGTGTACAGCTAGGCTGCAATTTGTTGCATGTTTCTTAAAAACGTCTATTTTCAGCAAACCCTTTATTAGTTGCCTTTTATGACATGCTTGTTAAGGGCCAGTGGGTCTCTTCTTTTGAGGACCCTGGAACCCACACAGGGATAGTGAATGGAGAATATAAGACATTTTACACTGAACATGACGACACATCTGCTTACCGTGAGCCCTGAGGTTGTTGTAGTGTTGCCACACACATACACACTCCGTGGTGCCACAGATGCAGCAGCCTGCAGCATCTGACTCTTCCCTAGGCCTGGGTCACCAACCACAAGAATGTGTGGGTCACCTCTTACTGGGATACGATTCTGTCCGACAAGAAGAGCAAGATGACATGATGGGGAAAAAGATGCAATATGAAGGGGTTTCAAATGAATACCTTAAAAGTGCAATACAGATTACAATAACCATGCCATCTTGTAGCTTGTCAATAATGTTGATAAGACTGTCAAGAGTGATAAGCACATGACATCATGGTGACATCATAATGACAGTTTAAAAATGGCTACCCCACTTTTGGCATGCACCAAAGAGATTCCTCATTCCGTTATCCAATTTTTAAAAATAAAATCAGTGAAAGGATGAAACCTCTAGAAAAACATTGGTGAATGAAAGTACTGACTTCTGAGACAGACTGTTTATGACTAGGTCATAATATTAAGAGACAGAGCCGCAGTGGTATAGCTGACAGACACTCACTTGCCAGCCTGAAGGTCCTGGGTTTAAATTCACTTAATTTTGTTCCCAACCAGACCTAACATTCCAGGTCAACCTAACCTAAAATGGGTACCAGGTATTGTCCTGGGAAGTAAAGGTGGTAGATGTGATGATGACCACATCACCTATCAAGTGAAAACAAGTGTCTTAAAAAATATAGGTAAAACGTGATATGTCTGATGAGTCAAAGGCTTGAAAAGGATTCATTTTCAATAATACTTTCAGGTATTGAATATTATGAAGTAATAATAAGCAAGGCAACTGTCATAGCAATGACTAGGTGCCACTTCAGCGTGGTTCTCTGTGGCAGTTGGTAACATGGAATTCTCGAGAGAAGGCTAAATCACCTCATTTGTTACTTGTAAATGAACTGTACGAATGGTTTCAGTTGTAGTCTTCTTCAAATTCCTTGCATTTTAAATTGAATCTCTTCTTGTTATTTCAGCAGCTCCTTCAAAACATCTCACCTCTGCTTTGATTTTGTGCAAGTGTCCATGTTTGACAACATCACAGAGCTCACAAAAAAAAGAGCAGTTTTTATTTGATCTGGATTAATAGAAAAAGATCTACTTCTATGTGTTGTAAGTAGTCATAGTTGTCCCAGTACCTGATTTGTTTTTGCACCTCCTATATTGATTTCTTTTTTCACTCTTCATTCTGATGTGAAAAATTTATTCACTTTTATTGATATTCTTCTTTCTAGCGTTCAGTGGCTGAAAACTCCAACAGAAAGGCTGTTAATCCACTCCTCGACTTTGTGTGTCCTTCAATCCCACCAGAACCGTACAACAAGCGACCAAAACCCCGTGACACGAAGTGCCATCACGTGGATAAGGATCACCCGGGCACAAGTCCCAGAAACCCCATTCAACTGTTAGGTTATATTAGGGTTCCTGACTACAGCTGGGGTAGAGTTTAAAAAAAAAAAATGGCGGCCTACATTGAGATGGGAAGCACTGCTTCTCCCCTTTGGTCTTGATGCAGAACCTGAGTTGTGTTCCACATCCATTTTACAGATGTGTCTTATTTTTTATGCAGACTATTGATTCCTTGTCTCTCAAGCAAATAGACTCTGAGTTTGAAGGTAACACCACTAATTATCGCCTCCTACAATATACTTGTTATGGGGACAGGGCCTCTATTCTTTGTTCTATGTATATAAATATATATATAAATATATATGTGTGTGTGTATATATATATACATATATATATATACATATATATATATACATATATATATATACATATATATATATATACATATATATATATATATATACATATATATTTATGTGTGTGTGTAATTATATGTATATATATATATACACATATATATATATATATATATATATACATATAAATACACACACACACACATATATATATATACACACATATATACAAACACACACATATATACATATACACACACACACATGGGTGGGTGGGTGGGTGTGTGTGTATATATATATAAAAAAAACAAAAATAAATAAATACCTTATCATGTGAAAACTTCTGACTGCTTCCAAATAAACCCAAGATAAGACCAGCTTTCACCATCTAGAGTGGAAAAAGAAAAATTACTTTTTATTAAGCTGGGCTTAGCATACTAGTGACGATTCTTCTTCTCCACGTTCACCGACTGTAAAATCCAGCGAAATTTCCGGTTTGTTCATTTCTGGACTTTCGTCTTATTCCAGAACCTGAGTGTTGCATGTACATCCTTTTTTACAGATCTGACTCCTCTGTATGCTGACTGCTGGTTCCTTGCCTCTCAGGCAGATGCACTCCAACTTCAAAGTAAGGTACATATAGTGGACTCTTACGATATGCTTGTTGGGGGAGGCAGTGGGTCTATTCTTGTTTTCCCCACAACGTGGCCCCTCAGCCCACATGGGGAACAAGTAGCGGTTGAAAAGCTGTATACACCATCTTTTTTACCTTGCATCTGAATTATTAGTTTAACTGTTTCTGTCTCATTGTGTCTCTGTTGAGATCCTTCATACTTTAAGTATTTATTATTTTTAAGCTTAACTCTGTGGAATACAAGAATGTAAAATAAACAACTGTATGATTTTGAAAAACTTGACCTGTCACTAATTCTGTTAATTCCTCTCTTTTTGTAATTATAGTTCAATTTTTTTTTTCTTTGATCTTATGAGTTCACAAATCAGGAAATTCTATTTAAATTACTGCCAGTTTCTCTTAGTCTGTCTTATCGAGTGTTTTTTCCTCTCAGAGTCATGAAATTTGTTTAGTTCTCTCCATAAATTCTGCATCATAGCATCAGTCTATTTTGACTGTATTTTTTTTGGGTGTGCATCAAATAAAACTCGCTGAGATATGTAAGGCAACTATGGTGTGAAGTCTAAAAATTACTTAATGGAAAGAAGATGGTAGTGGAGGAAGAAAGAAAAAAAAAAAGAGAGAGAGAGAATGAGGTAAGGGAGAGAGAAAGAGAGAAAGAGAGAAAACAATAATTTGTATAATTTACAATATTCATTATTACCTCATGTCCAAAGATGCTAGGACACAGAGACCTATAATTGTTGAAAAAAAAAAGATTAAAATTTGATTATTTTTACTTTTTTAACATGCAGATAAATATATATAATCTTGCAGTGATTCAATAAATTAGCTCACTGACAGAGTGGTGTGCAATGAAAAATTTTCACATATACTATGTCAATGGATTTCAATGTATGTCAAGAAATCATTCTTACTTATTATCTCAAACTTGGATAGTCTAGGGATAAACAATAACTCGATTCGGTTCCTTTTTACGTTTTTCTATTCAAAACTGACTTTGTCTCAAGGACAACCCAGCCTAAAAGTGGCATAACTTCATACTATGAAGAAAAAGACCTACAAACATGTGGAATCATCTACTGGAAAGAGAAGGCCAATCCCACTGACGAATGTCAGCAGTAGCACTGGGAAACAGTAAAGGGGGCAGTTTGTTTCACCATATTTAAGGGCTTGGAATGCTTAAGAAGAAACTAAAAAAATGTGGCAAGATACAAACAACAACATCAGTTCTTTCGATGTTGCATATTTGATAAGAATGTATGTATTGTTTTTTTTAACTGCAGTTCTGACCAAACTAGTTTCTGCTGCAGTATTTTTTGTGGCCGAAAATGTTATTGCAGTTAATGTAAAAATTAAATAAATGAGGAATATTCTTCGCCTTTATCATTTCTTCAGATATAGCAGCCATGTACAATTGTGAATTTTTTGTGTGGGCCTAAAATTCTCTAAGACTTTGTTTGATGTTTTTCTCACATCCTTTGCTCTGTGTATTTCACTGTATTTCTTCAGTGTGGCTCCATGTGACAGCTGGTTCCACATTCTCATCAGATGGCTGGTCTATTTAAGAAGAGCCATTTGTTGTTCTTGAATAATGAATATAATTGTTGTTAACAACAACAAAACAAAAACAAAAGAAGAAAAAGAAACAATACCCAACAAGAAGCTGAAATAAATTATCTTGGCTTTGTATCTCTCGAATGGCATACAACTCCTTCATGGTAAAATCCATAGCTAGACCGTTTCTGCTAGAACTGTCTTCTCCCGATTTCCTGGTGTTTCCTTTGGCATTGTCTACACTGTTGGCATGCAGATACAGGAGGAACATACATTTTTCTTTGTTCTTCCTATGACCTGGCAAATATACACATTAAACAAAATATTTTAAAATAAGGGATATTGGTTAGTTGCGTATCCTTTACAGGACATTACAGAACCAACCCCAACAGCCCCTGGCTGTTGTGTGGTTTTTCTAGGCACATTTACGTCCAGTAGTTTGCCATTGCTTTCTGGACGGTCGGCTTTCTTGATACCACTGTTGAAACCAACCCAAGGTGCATGGCCTGCAGCTGGAATTGAACCCGGCATCTTAGCATTACGAAGCGTTCGCATCAACTTAGCCACAGAGCTGACATAAGGGATATAGAAATAAATTATCAATACATGCAGAATATAATTTAAGTAGTTAAAGGACATTCCCTCAGTCTGTAATGTACTGCAAATCATGTAGAGGACCCATTCCCTCAGTCTGAGATGTACTGCACATCATGTAGAGGACCCATTCCCTCAGTCTGAGATGTACTGCACATCATGTAGAGGACCCATTCCCTCAGTCTGTAATGTACTGCACATCATGTAGAGGACCCATTCCCTCAGTCTGAGATGTACTGCACATCATGTAGAGGACCCATTCCCTCAGCCTGAGATGTACTGCACATCATGTAGAGGACCCATTCTCTCAGTCTGAGATGTACTGCACATCATGTAGAGGACCCATTCCCTCAGCCTGAGATGTACTGCACATCATGTAGAGGACCCATTCCCTCAGCCTGAGATGTACTGCACATCATGTAGAGGACCCATTCCCTAAGCCTGAGATGTACTGCAAATCATGTAGAGGACCCATTCCCTCAGCCTGAGATGTACTGCACATCATGTAGAGGACCCATTCCCTCAGTCTGAGATGTACTGCACATCATGTAGAGGACCCATTCTCTCAGCCTGAGATGTACTGCACATCATGTAGAGGACCCATTCTCTCAGTCTGAGATGTACTGCACATCATGTAGAGGATCCATTCCCTCAGTCTCAGATGTACTGCACATCATGTAGAGGATCCATTCCCTCAGTCTGAGATGTACTGCACATCATGTAGAGGATCCATTCCCTCAGTCTGAGATGTACTGCACATCATGTAGAGGATCCATTCCCTCAGCCTGAGATGTACTACACATCATGTAGAGGACCCATTCCCTCAGTCTGAGATTTACTGCACATCATGTATAGGACCCATTCCCTCAGTCTGAGATTTACTGCACATCATATAGAGGACCCATTCCCTCAGCCTGAGATGTACTGCACATCATGTATAGGACCCATTCCCTCAGTCTGAGATGTACTGCACATCATGTAGAGGATCCATTCCCTCAGTCTGAGATGTACTGCACATCATGTAGAGGATCCATTCCCTCAGCCTGAGATGTACTGCATATCATGTAGAGGACCCATTCCTTTAGTCTGAGATGTTCTGCACATCATATAGAGGACCCATTCCCTCAGCCTGAGATATACTGCACATCATGTATAGGACCCATTCCCTCAGTCTGAGATGTACTGCACATCATGTAGAGGATCCATTCCCTCAGTCTGAGATGTACTGCACATCATGTAGAGGATCCATTCCCTCAGCCTGACATGTACTGCACATCATGTATAGGACCCATTCCCTCAGCCTGAGATGTACTGCACATCATGTATAGGACCCATTCCCTCAGCCTGAGATGTACTGCACATCATGTATAGGACCCTTTCCCTCAGCCTAAGATGTACTGCACATCAAGTAGAGGATCCATTCCCTCAGCCTGAGATGATTTGGACATATGATGCTTGCCCCATACTTTTTAATACCTACTGGCACTTGATGACTTTTACTTCCTTAAACATTTCCTATAACTAATTTAAATTGATTCATTATCCTGTTGTGCTGTTATACGCCACATAAGGTTCATTGTCAATTCCTTACTTCAGTTCTATTCTACGCAATTAAAAAAAATAAAAATCATATTTGGAATCCATTCTCACCCAGGGTTTCTCTTCTACATTCTTGTTGTCTCAATCTAATCTATCTTTTATCCCATTTCAGTGACTCTTTTGTGATTCTCTGTTTTGTCTCAGAATGTGATTGAAATATCAGCATCATCTTCCTCTTATAACTGTTGTTACTGGGGGTTATCCAGACATTTATCCCCACGCTTAACACTCAGGGAAGGGATGAGACGGATATAAAATCAGATGGTTACTGGTGCCATGGTTACTGGAACAGGAACTCTTCGCTAGTTGCTGAAGATTGAAACTGAGCACTTATGGGAGTTTCCCAAGTACTGTGATGTCAATTTTTAATTCAACATTCAACAAACATTTATCTAATGCTTACACCTTTCTTAAATCCACACTCTTATATATAATGGAAAAAGTAGGATATTAGGTCACAACTAAAGTTGTATAAAGCAATTAATCAGCCAGTGGTTCAAATGAAACATTTTTCAAGTACACAATCTCTAAATGAAGCCTGAAGGAATGTTTTTGCTTATTTACTCAGACACTTGAGACAGTGGCTGGCAGAGTGGTTAAGAACACTATTGCTTTCAATCGGAAGGTCAACATTCAAATCCTTAAGTAAAATCCTAACCTGCACAGTATCCAGCGACTGCACTAGTCATGCAGTCATAAATGCTTAGGCTCAAGTCCTCTTTGGCCTCATTATCGTCAATCAACAGGTCCTTTATAGAATGTTGCTATCTTCATGGCACGCCTGAAAGTTTCTCTTTCTCTAGCCAGTTCTCCAGCCCTGTGTGCTTTCAGTGCAAATGCATTTTCAATGTCTTGTATTCACCTCTGTGAAGGCTGGCCTCTCTCTCATTTTTCGGAAACTGCATCTTCCATTGTCGTTCTCTCCAGGCTTAACATGGGCAAAATACCTCCACTTTCGGGATAGGATGTTGTTTATGAGCCAGCTCTTCTCAATCTTCAGATCAGGCAGGATGAGGGTGTTTTTCTTCTTTCTGGTCCGAGGTATTCTAAGATCTGTAACATTTCAGTTCAAAAGCTCAAAGTTTTTCTTCAAAGACCAAATAAGAGTCAATGACTCACATTCATAAGTTGCCACAGGAAAGATGCATGATCTCAACAGTTTTACTTTAACTCCCTGTCCTACAACACCCCAAAAGTGGTAATTATGGGCAGTAAAGACAGACAGGAAAGATAAATAATCTCAACAGTTTTACTTCAACTCCCTGTCCTACAACACCCCTAAAAGTGGTAATTACGGGCAGCAAAGATAGAACTCTGAGACATACAGCTACAAAATTTAGAAGGCCTTACCTTCCTCCACATTGTTCACTTTGACAATCCCTGTGACAGTGACAATATCACCAGGCACACATGAGTCCACTGTTTCAGGACAAGGAACAGTTATCATAAACATGTTAATAATCGTCATGAATAAAACATACTATTAACCCATTACACTCCCCACAAGGCCCAGTTTTAGGGAAAAAAGAATAGACCCACTGCCTTTCCTGGAAAACAAACCCAATAATTCCAAAAGGTTAGTTAGCTAGTTAGCTGGGTTTTCATCATTGCACTCCTGACATGTCCATAGGTGCTCAGATCCTCCCCTCAGTATGAACCCCAGCGTCCGGTGGCTAGTACCAGCTCTATGTTTATTAACAAGTCCTCTGATGTGCCTGGTGTGTCTAGTTTTTTTTGTAATGCTGATCTTAACTCCCAAGTCTATCCTTCTGGCAAGTGATGTGGATTTACTGCTCCCAAGCCCTCCACTCTTCCCAATTCTCTGAGAACATTAAAAGCATTATGCACAAGTTGACCGTCGGTAGTGATAGCAGAACCAGCCAACATATCAACTCTTTTATTTCCATCAACGCCCGCGTATACCCAGAATGAAAATAAAGGTGACTCCACTCACAGTGGAATTCCCAAAAATATTGGTAATGTTGAAGTTATAAATGAAAACTCAGCTTTAAACAGAAACATCAAAACTACTGTTCTCCCATGACAAATGCGGAAGAAGAAAAATCCCACAGACAGTGTATAAGCAATGCTATTTAAATAACACATAATTTTTCCAAATATTAGAGGGTCACTGTCACTGCTTGAGTCATGTTGGAAATATGGCAGTGGGTCCTAACTTTAACAGATAATTTCCCCAATGTCAGTCTGGAGCACATTTGGAAAAAGGGGGGGGGGGGGGGGGGGAGATAGTCACACAAGCAAGTTGTAACAGCCGAAAATTATGGATTTGCTGAAATCAAATGTGGTGGGCCGAAAAGGTGTAGATATCGTAGCCTAGCTAATTGACAGGATCAATAATAAACATTTTTTAAGTGCTGTCTTAACTGTTTCCACCCCGGAAAGACATAACTGACGCCCTAGTTAGTCAACTCGGAAATCAACAAAATAATGGTTATACTACATCCACAGGGGGAGTCGCCGTGGCCAAGCGGCTAGACGTTCACCGCGAATCGGAAGGTCATGGGCTCGCTCCCTGGCGGAGCCGGACGTTTTTCAAAAATGACCTTGGCTTCCAGGTCGATTCAGCCTTGAGTGGGTACTGGGTGTAGTACCGGGAAAGTGAAGGCGGCCGGGGTGATACCGACCACATCACCCATCTTGTGCCGATTGGTCTATAAAAATATAGGTCTAGCCCTATATGCCTTAAGGCGTGGAAAAGGGTCCTTTACTTTTTTTTTACCTTTTTTTTTACATCCACAGGGCCCAAACACACATCCCTTGTTGGAGATCAATGTGTTGCTGGGTATTTTAGCATGCACCAACTAAAAAAAAAATGTACAAGTATTTTAAATATTTTAAATCATGCATATCAGAAATCCAGTCACATATGTTGCGTTGTTTGGAACTGAAAGAGTTAATAAATAGGGATGTGAAAGCATGATCACTAAGTTAACAGGCCTGCACACTAGCCACTGTGCCTCTCAGATTTTGGTTAGAAGAGGTTAACTGCATACCCAGGTCTCGTGTGAGTTCACAATCCACTGTTCTAGGAATGCGACCCGCTTCTTTGTGACTATCAACTGTAACTTCCTGAACTCTGAAAACAAAGAGATTGCAATGAACAGAAACTGCACAATGTTAAAAGTAATTCAAGGATATACTGCTTTCATCAGGCAAGTAAACAACTGCTAACCAAATCAATCAAAAAAACCACCAGCTCTAGCACAAGATGATTACCTTATTATGGATAGTTCAAAACAAGTCATTATCCTGTGCCTCAAAACAGGGCACAATGGATTATGCAGTCCACATGTAAACAAAATTTAAGATAGGTGTATCAGCCATGTGCAAGATCACCCCAGATAGAAGAACACATACTCCAAGACTACACTGAATATGACACATTAAGGCAAACCTTTCAGCCAAAAAGTACAGTGGAAAGTAAACTCCTTGGACAACTGAATAAATTAATAACGGCAGTGAAAATTATGCGAGACAAAACTGCAGAAACAGATCAGTAACCGCAGAAAGTATTATTCTTATATACCCTAATTTTATAGTCATGATTTTCTAATCTCAACAAGTTAAAATACATTATACATTGTGGTTTTCCGGACAACAGGCTGTGTTTTTCCAGACAACAGGCTGTGGTTTTCCAGACAACAGGCTTTGGTTTTCCAGACAAACAGCTGTGGTTTTCCAGACAACAGGCTGTGGTTTTCTAGACAACAGGCTGTGGTTTTCTGGACAACAGGCTGTGGTTTTCTAGACAACAGACTGAAGCCCTAATTTACTTATGGCTCAAAAGCCACAATCAAATCTAAACCTAACTTTACAGTTTGTCAGCAAATAATACAATTTACCTTATTGTCTGCCAATCAATGGTTTCCGTTTTACTGTCAGTACGACAGGGTAAAAATGTGCGTCCTCTACACTTATCTCCTGGACACTGACAAGAAAAATACAACATAATTAAGCTAGTTATTTTATCACATGAATGCAGCATACAGAAGGTTAGTACTTGGTGTAGTTTGTTGCACTTGCTTCTTCTTCTCAACTTTTACCAGCTGTTAACTCTAGTGGAAAATTCTGGTCATTAATCCACTTCTGGACTTTGGTTTTGTTTCGGACCTTGAGTTTTGCGTGCACATCCAGTTTACAGATCTGGCTTATCTGCATGCAGAATGTTAGTTCCTTGCCTCTCAAGCAGACCGATTTGATTTCAAAGAAAACTTCCCTAATTAGTCACCTTTTACAGCATGCTTATTAGGAAGGCAGTAGTGGGTCTATTCTTTTTGTTTTCCCCACCTAAACTAAGGCCTAGGAATCCACACAGGGATGTTTAGGTGCAATAATTATAACTTCTCAGAAGGCAGAAAAGGTTTATCTGGGATTGTCTCTGTTGGACTGCCATCTAGGATGCAACTACGAGTCGTAGGGGTGGTCAAGTCTTAAAGCCTAGATGGAAAAAGCAGAGACAAAAGCCTGGGTACTTCAACCTTTTCACCCTGCAAGAATCTTTAAAAAATGGCATTTTCCAAAATTTGTTTAAAAAAAAAACAAATCCTTATAAATCTCTGAAACTAATCTAAGAAATCAGACGAGGAGAAGAAGAAGCAGAAGAGACTTCAAATCTTGCTCAGGTTTTAGAAAAATCCAGTTTTGTAAACAGCCATCTGGAGCAAAGTGATGTCATTATGTGGTTTTTATGACGTCAGTTTAAGCACAAAAACAACTATTTATTCACCACTAACATATCATGTTTTGTTGTTGTTGTAAATACTGTCACACCCACCATGTCAAGACATTATGCAGTTGTAGCTAGTACTGAAGCTGTTATTCAGGAGTAGTGCCCCCTGCCCAAAGACTTCCTGTCATCAATAACTAGCCAACAATCAAAATGCACCAATGTAGCTGTTCTTAAATAACCCTGTTGTGCTGAAAAGGAAAATACAATTGTAAAATGTTGACTGGTTTTAATTTGAAAGATATACGCTACTAGTTGACTTAATTAGCGCTAAATTATAGATATATGTCGCAACTGTTGTGGATGGCTGCGTATTATATTTTTTTTGAAAGTCGGAAAACATCTGCTTGAGAGGTGATGAACCAACAGCCTGCATACAAATAAGCCAGATTTGTAAAATGCATGTGCATAAAAAACTCAAGCTCTGAAAACACCAGACTAGAGAACCTTTAAACAGGCCCTTAAATGGTAAACCAAGGAACTAAGGAAATAAGGACGCCCGAGAGAAACACTATGGTGAACGTTGACAAGAGAAGCCAAAGATGCTGAACTAGATTCCACCAACCACATCAAAGTGATTGCACAGGATAGAAAGGAATGGAGAAATAGACTGCAGGCACTATGTGGCAGTCAATGGCAGAACAGAACAGTGATAATGACTGTTTTTGTTGAAGGCTTTTTATAGGACAGGATAGCTAGTCTCTTGATCATTATCCTCTTTTCTTACAATATGTATCTTTTCAATAGATAAGAAAACTATGTTCTCTACAGATAATTTATGAAACATACCGAGCCTGGCAGTGTAAACTTCCCATCTGGTAATGTTATGACCTGGGGATAACAAAAATGTAAGGGTTATCTTGTACAATGCAAATGATCTTGCTGAAATGCAGGGGTATTTGATGAAAATGACAGGCTATAGAGTAATAAAGATAAAAAAAGGGCATACTAATTTATTAGAAAAATCCACTTTTATTATTGTATTGTATATCAGACCCATTAAAGCAGCGGTTCTCAACCTGCTGGTCACTACCCTTTTTTGAGTCGCATGACCTTTTTTTTTGGCTCACACGACCCTTTCATAGGGGTCGCCTAAGACCACTGAATAACACATATTCATTGAACTTATGAAGGAAAATAATTGTCTGGGGGTCGCCACAACATGAGGGAACTGAATTAAAGGGTCGCAGTATTAGGAAGGTTGAGAGCCACTGCATTAAAGCATCTTCAGTTGTATTGAGCAAATAGTACTAGATCTATATTTTTATAGGCTAACTAGCATTCAATGGACTGAAGTTCAGAGAAATGACTTCAGTGCACTTGGTTTTGTCTAATATGGCTTGGTGCCTCGGTCTTTCTTTGTAAAATGGCTAGCCACATGAGAAAGAGCACAAAGCGTGAACTTCAGCAACTGTCTCTATGGATCTCAATAAAAACTTCAACTGTGAAGTGAAGGACACACCCATGAAATGAACCCACTAAGGTCAGAGGTGGGTGAGAAGGTCAAGGCACATGGTGTGCAAGGTCATCTGAGCTACAATGACATACATTCTCACTTCTGGCAGTTAGTTAGATTTCTCTCTCACTCCCTGATCTTTCCTTTCACTTCTCATCATGATGCAGACATAATATTCTGGACTCCTAAGCCTTGCTAAGGTATGTGAGTTCTGTGAGAACTGAGTTCTCAGACTCTTTTGACCACTGGACATCCATGAAAACAGGCTGCCTCATGACAATGCACAAGTTGCTAGGATTACCAAACAGCGAAATAGTTCTTTTACCACCATCCAGTTCTACCAGAATAATCACAGTTAATTTACACATAAAAATGTCACCACTAGTACTAGATGTACTGTCACTATTACAATGACTGCTATTACTACCCTACTCCTATGTGGTATTGCCACATTGTAGTTGTCCAGGCCGTCAGATTGCAAGCTTGGTTGACAACTGCCTTAAGCTTGTTCATAACCTGAGCTCATTTCCACTGCCTTCCGTAGAGCACGGGGCTTCTGTGGTTTGTGTGTACACCATGATAATCACATATTTTTTTTTGTTTTTCTGGCAGTCTTATATTTACTCATATCTCCACCCTACAAGGATCTTTGCAACCACCTTCAGAGCGCAAGGCAAATGGTTTGACCACTTCACCACAGATGATTAGGTCCAAATTACAGGTATACCTTTATTTTCAGATTATTTTCTAGTATCCGTTTGAACGCTAGGTCAACTTTTAAACACAGATCCATATTAAAATACACTTCATTAATATTCGAGCTACTGAATATCAGGCTTGAAGGCAAGATGTTAAGCATATCTGAGTTTTACCAAATCCAACTGTTGGACAGACATTCATCAAGATAAGCTCCTACATTACAATGTCAGTGGAGATGAACTTTTATAAAATGATCATACAATTAGGTGCCGTTTCCACAATGAAGGTCGGCTGCAACGAATCTCCAACTGGCCCAGTCTCTCTTTTTAGTTTGAAATCCACTAAAGGCTATTCAACTGGTGGCTGCAGGCTAAATCTGACCAATGGAGACCCAGCAAGAGGTCATGGATCATTGCCAGTTGTATTGTGTTAATCATCTGTCTATGGTGGGGGTTCAGATCTCTGGCCTGCAATGATCCCTAATTTCAAAAATGTTTGCTATGACTAAACTCAGCTGAAAAGTCTTGCACTAAACTATGCAAAGAGCAAGAAAGCGATGTTTCGGCAGCAGCCATTATCAACAACAACAAAAACGCAGCAGCCATTATTTAAAAACAAAAAAAACAAGTAGGAGAGTATCCTGGCCACCAGGGAGGTACTAAATAATTGTAAAATATAGGCAAAGGAAAAAAAACTATCTTGGGCGACTCATATAAATGAAGGAATGAAAATAGTAATAATAATAATATTAGTATTTAAATAAAAGTAAAAGGAGTAATGATCCAAGCAGTAGAAATAATGGCAACTGCCTAAAAAAACCTTCCAATTACTGCCTTTATTTACCACTTTTGCTGTGTAGGCAAAGGAGTCTGAGCCTGAGGTTTTAAGCCTGCATAGCTAGTGCTGTCGCCACGACTGTACAGGTGAGAATTTTATTTTGCCCCCGACAGAAAAAAAATCCCCAGCCTACCGATGATTCGAATCTGGGCCTCCCCCTTGGAAGCCCAGCGTTCTAACTGTTCGGCCAGCCGCTCCTCTAGAATGGCAACAAAACCGCCAATGGTGGTGATAATTTTAAAAAGAATAAAAATACTACTAAAAGAAAACAAGAAATAACAGGTAAAAAAAAATTTAAAAAAAAATAAAATAAAAGTGTGAGTAATATTATTTACATGAAGATATGCTGAACATTATAGATTTCAAACCCTATCAAGTGACCCAGAAACTCCAACTACAATCAGCATTCAAGACAGATGGAACCAGATCAAAGAAACATACAAATCAACTAGCAATAACATATTAGGAACCAGGAAACAACACCACAAAGAATGGATAAGTAGTCAAACCATGGACTATATTGCCAAGCAAAAAAGAATAAAGAGCCTCATAAACCACACTAAATCAGAACTTCAGAAAGACAAACTAATGTTAGAATATAGCGAACTAAATAAAATGACCAAGAAAAGTGCCAGAGCTGACAAGAGAAGATTTATGGAAAATCTTGCAGAAACAGCAGAAAATGCTGCTAAAGCACATGATCTACAAACCCTACACAAAATTACCCAGCAAATTTGCGGAAACAGAAACAACTATCACAGCATACCCATCAGAGATAACCAAGGCAGATTGCTCACCACAGAACAAAAACAAGACATGCAGTGGACCAAACACTTCTCCGACCTCTTGAACAGACCTGATCCTGAAAATCCCCCAGATATTCAACCAGCCTCTCAGGACATTGACATTATTACTGAACCACCAAGCAATCAAGGAATCCTTAAAGCTATCCTACACTTTAAAGAACAACAAAGCACCAGGCAAAGACGAACTGCCAGCAGAACTTCTCAAAGTAGATCCCAACACAACTGCTAGCATTCTAGAACCATTGTTCAAGGATATTTGGGAAAAAGAAGTGTTGCCTGATCACTGGACTGAAGGAATAATAGTCAAAATCCCCCCCAAAAAAGAGACTTAACAGACTGCAATAATTACTCTACTCTCAGTACCAAGCAAAATATTTTGTAAAATCATCATAATGAGGCTTGAA